ACACTGAACTCCCTACCACTCCAGTCCTCTTTTTCTCTTTCCCCCCCCCCCATACAGGCATTCCGTATTCTGTCCCGGCTTGGGGAGTTAACATGCTCTGTGGTTCTGGACTTCGGACAGTTTGTTTGGCCTATGAACAATTGAAAGTGGCCAAATCTTCCTCCGGTGGCTGGATTATTGCTGGGGGCCAGGAGTCGATGAGTCAGTCTCCCTATTGCATTCCATCCAATGTTTGTCTGCGTCACCGTGACGAACAGACTGCATGCAGTCTTCCGCATCTGGACACTGTGAAACCTATCAACACGGTAATCCAGGATGGCCTGACGGACGCATTTTGTGGCATATTGATGGGAGAGACTGCTGAGGTTATTGCTGAAAGGTTCGTTCATCTGTTTCTGCTGCTATGGTTTTCACAACCGCGGTTGTGTATCTGTCTGTTTTCATCATCACCCGTCTCTATTGTTCATAGCCTCGGCTTCCGTCAAGTCTACATGTTTTTGTTTACACGCCCTTACTCCTGTTGGTTTCTAATTAGGTTTTTTGCTTCTTTATTTCGTTCATGATCCGCTTCTTTATATCAGAAGTTGTCGTTACTCCTGATATGAATTTCGGTCATTTCCCAACCCTAACTTGTCTGATCAACCAATCGTTTACGATGAATGTACCTTGGATGGCTTTCACAGTATACTATCTTCATTTCGAACACTCTAAATTTCTCCACTGCTTTTGGTAATCTCCCTTTGTAACAGAATTCTGAGACATACCCCGGGCTGATTATTATGTAGAAGGAGTAGATGATCATCTGTCGAGGTAGACCCCGCGGCTGTCCAACCTCTCTGTTGATTATTTTGCACTACTTTTGACAAAAAAGTAGGTAGAAGTTAATTTTTTCAAACTGCTGAGGCCTTGGTTCTCCGCTAGGCCTGTTCCGAACTGTTTTCCAAACTCCGTAGATGATTGCGCACCCCTGTGTTGTAATGGTCGATTTTTCTAAGATAATTATTTGGAAAAGGAACTTTCCGCTAAGTCTTTCAAAAATACCAGTTGTATAAATCAAACTATTTGCGGAAATCCGCGTGGGCTGTCCATCCATTGTGGCGCAAATTTATTTGCTCTGTATTTTCGAACGGGATCTGACTTGATTTCTAGCCGAATGTCTTGATCAACTCCAACTTTGTATACTCTTTAGGCACAATCTTTAGAGCATATCTCAGCGGTCAATCACGTGCCCCAATCCACTGTTTCTTACACTAACCACCGAGAATGTTGGTGTCGTAGTTCCACAATTGTGGGCTTGTGTGTACATCGAACATCGCATGGGTGTATTGTCCGCTAAGTCGTGTTAAACTGTCTTTTAAGGTTGCATGCAATTCGGTAATGCTCGGCAACATAGTCTTTCTTACCCAAGGACAACGTTCCTGGAAAAGATGTCTGTAGAATCCATTCGTCCAATCAATCACATTGCGCGGTCAACTGCATTTGCATCCTCCGAAAGGTAGCGTCAGGTGTCACGGCCTTAGAGCTCACAGTAACCTAAATTGGTTTAATCAATCGAAGCATGTCAAGCACCAATTAGTGTGCCCATAGGATCATAATTTACACGTAGTCTGAACCGGAATTGCGTTTGCCAGTTCGCCCCACTTGTGGCATTAAAAAAGCACTTCACTTGGTGTCAAAGGACCTGTGTATCACATACAGACCGTGAACAATTCTGAACCTCTTTCGTGACTGTTTTTTACATGAGCTTAGTCATCTTCAATTTATCTCACATTCCAGATATAATATTGATCGACAACAGCAGGACGAATTTGCCTTCAACTCCCAGAAGAAGTATGCGGCGGCGAAAGCCAGTGGGTACTTTGATACCGAACTGACACCCATCGAAGTAATTCACTTTGTGTACTGTCTCCCCTCTTACTCATTTTTCAAGTTTCCCCTGTTGCTTTTTTTGTTTATTGGTATCTAACTGCTTGTCTCGACCGTGAATGTGTAACCTTCTTGATCCATCCTTTCTTCTATTGGGTGCCATTCTTTCCATGCTCAGTTTTCCCTGACTTTCCCTNTCCCTGACTTCCCTTGTTGTCTATATGTTCCGTAGGTGCCTGCCAAAAGTGGAGGCGACGAAGTAATCAAAGTCACTACGGATGAACATCCTCGTCCGGACATCTCTATGGAATCACTCAGCCGTTTAAAACCGGCGTTTGTCAAATCGGATCGTCCAGGTACAGTAACCGCTGGGAATGTGAGCGGAATAAACGATGGTGCGGCATTCCTACTTCTGTGTCGCGGCGACCAGCTACTGACTCATGGTAAGGCAATTTCTTTGTCTTACTTTTGTTAACTTCCGTTTGCAAACGGGCGCCAATTCAATGCTTAGCTTTTGAAGGAGTGTCAGCGACCTCCCTCTAACCCCTCCACTACTACTGTCTGGTTATGCACGGCTATCACCGTGTTAAACGATTATTCTCCACAAGATGATCATTTTTTCAAGTCGTTTGACCTTATCGGGATCGTAAGCATCCGATTAGACGAACTCTACTTCCATGTTTTCTATAAGGCTTGTGTTAAGCCATCGGTCATCTTTGTCAGTAAACTCATTCTGGAAAGTATCTTCCTGACGGCTGCGCTATGAATTGAATGTAAGACCAGATGCTAGTTCACAGAGAAATTGGGTAACAGTTGGTGTAATGGCTCAGTGGTTAGAGTGCGAATTTACTGACCGGATGGTCCGTGTTTCGAACCTGACCTTTGCCTCTCGACTTCCTTTGTCTAGGCTTGGACAACCTGGCAGTATCCCAGTCCTCGTACTTCCTTCGGGTGACATAGCAGCTATACACCGAAAGGATATCTATCATACCACATAAGTGTAGTTGTAGTTGTTGTTTACAACGTCGAAAGTATGGTGGGCGAAATGTTAAAAGAAGGTGGCATGGCAGTGGACGACTATCATTATCATCATAGCTACTCTACTCTCTCTTCCTCTCTCTTACGATTCCAAAAAGCCCATCAAGTTCGGTCGTGATATGGAGGAAACGATAGCTTGAAGCTGCGATAGCCACGCAGAACCACACAGTTGTATTGGGGATGAACACGTTACAAGGGATCTTGTTAGATAGGGGAACGACTCTATCCTCACTCGTACCCCTTATCATGGAAAAAAAGCTATGAAAACCGAAGTCACTGCACATCGGTACTTGGTGCATGGTTGATGTACCTCAATCATGTATGAAAAACAGCTGCTTTGACGCCTACATTCGTCTATTACTCAATACACACCGTATTGATCTTATTATTCATCTTCGTTGCGTTTTGACTTTGGGTCACGGTCGCTCGTATATCCTAATGACTTTTTATGTATGATGTTTTTCCAGTACTACTCATAAGGTCGATGAAAACTCTGAACAGCACACTTCTGATTTTGTCCTTCTTTGGATTCATCAGGTGGGCCTCGTCTCCGAATTTCCATCAGCCTTATTTCGTACTTGAACACTCATTTGCGAATTACGTTCCCAGCAGCTGAACTTCACCTGAATCTTTCGTTCACACTGTCATTCATTTGAGTGCTGTGCTGTACAAAGCCCGCCTCGTGTTTTCTTTGAAATGATATGTATGTATGTTTCAATTATTTTCTTAAATTCAAGGAAAAACTCTGTACAACCCGCTACCGGTTTCGCCCTTCTTGGGCTGCAGTAAGCCCTCCGTTGTAAACTAAGTTGGTGTGACAGACTGTCCAGAATTTTCGTCCATCTAATGAGGGACTGAAACACACTTCGACGTCTTGTATATCATTCCAAATGAAATGTGAGACGACCTTTGTGCAGCACAATCAGTCGAAGAGAGGTCCAACTGAGTCTCTTGTCAACAGTAACTCAACTTGCTCTTATTTCCTTGACTTTTGTTGTTCAAGGCATACAGCACCCGATGGCTCGAATCGTCGGTTGGCATCAGGTTGGTTTGGAACCGCAACTAATGGCTTTGGGACCGCTTTATGCGATTCGGGGCCTTCTCGATCGTATCGGTTGGACGATTGATATGGTAGACGTGTTTGAGGTGAACGAAGCTTTCGCGGTGCAGTGCATTGCTGTAAGTTATTGCGTTGACTCTTTTTATTTACCGGAAAACGACCTGCGATTCTATTCTCACTCCCGCATATTGCCTGTTTTCCTTCACACTACTTCATCCTTCGTGGCAGTGTTGTTGTTGGTAACGAGGTTTTCTAGGCAACTACACCTAGTAGTCTTGTAGAGTGAGGTAATGCAAACTCCGGATTATCCTGCTATCGTTGAAATATCTTTCAGGTTACCGAATGAATGCCTGGAGAAGCTCATAACTGCTCCGAGACAGCTGAATTTCAGCTGCCTCTTGAGAAACGCTCTGCTATCCTCGGTTCATACATGATGTCGTACTGTCACGTGCGGTTTCCAGTAGCCTTTGCTACGCAGCAACGGTCATGCTTAAGGACGTGTGCATCAGGCTACATTGCGAGCTGTGTTATTGTATAGCTGTGAGACTTGGCCTGCTGGAGCAACCGAAATGAGACGTTTTCAGGTGTTCGATAACTGTTGACTCAGAACCGTGGCTCGGGTGGACTGGTGCCGGCGAATCCGTAACGAGGCAAGTAGAAAGCGAGTTTTCGGTTGTAAATCGGGGGCTTCCATTGAAGAATGTATCCAGCACCAGAATCTGCGTTGGTTACGCCATGTGTTGCGTATGCCGAACCACCGTTTGCCGAAGAGAGTGCTGTTTTTCGCGCCCAGTTCAGATTGGCGGAAGCAGAGGTTTCCAACCCTAAACCTGGCAGATGGGTATGAAAGGGATTTCTAAACGTTTAAGCGCAGTCGGTGCGACTCGTCTTCCAGGATGGGGACCGCGTGATCTCCACTGCGCCTGGTTGGAGATACGGCTGCTAGTCGATATCAGTGGCATTCTTGTTGTCAATTTCTATCCAGGTTGTCTGAATGAGTGTGTGAAGTTGTAGGCACCTCAGAATGACTGTAGTAAGCTGGCACTAAATCCCTTCTCTGCCCGCTTTTGTTCAAACAAATGGTTGTATGGCGGTGAAGCATCAGCATTGAGCACTAATGCCATATTGTCGACGATTAGGGTGATACTGACGGTCATATTGTGGCCACAAATTCAGCTTTAATCCCTTCCAAATGGGTTTCCATTGCAATATCTGTCTGAGAGTACATTCCTCTCCAATGAGGCTTATACCCATCTGACTTTACGATGGCCCTGTGTTCTGGTTTTCACCAAATTGGTAGACGTGTCGCTTGTAATCTACGGTACACATGTGCACATTACATCCGCTACCTTATCTCTGTTTGTTTTACAGGTAATGCGTGAACTAAACATTCCACCAGAAAAATTTAATCTTCAGGGAGGTGGTATCGCCCTTGGTCATCCATTGGGCTGTTCAGGTGCCCGTGTTCTAGTCACCCTTGTCCATTTGCTTCAGCGTCTGAAACGTGAATCACCAGACGCAAAGGTCCTCCGTGGCGTCGCGGCACTTTGTGTCGGCGGTGGGATGGGGATCGCAATAGCTGTGGAATCCAGCGCCAGCTGAATTTGTGATTTTGGCATTTCATATATGTCCTATGTTTGATCATTTATCATGATTTGTTGTCAGAATAAAGACTTGTGCTTAGAAAAATGTCTTTTAAATGTCTGACTGACTGTCTAGGATACTAAAGGCTTGTTTTTTACTTGTTATTTCAGAGTTGATTCACGATTGGTCACTACCCCGGAAGCCATGCAGCCGGAGGATAGGGCACAGCGGTCCCCTGTGTGTGACCGCATCTTTATCCAACGTGATTTTTCCGAAGGGACGGCCGTTCGATTTCAAACCTCTCCAATGCCTTTTCAGCTCCGAGGTCGGGTAAGCATCACCACTTGTATTCACCACTGAAATCACTGTTCCACTGAAACCTGATGTGATCATGTGGTGTCTCTTTGCTCGTACCTTAGATCAACCCAACGCGGTATGCGGAAGCCATCGGTCAACTGAATAAGCTATTTGACGAGGCTGAGGCTATCTCTCCGGCAGTTTGTTTCGAAAATGCCCTAGGCTGTTTAACCGCCTATCTGGCTTTCCTTTGCATCAATACACACTATGAAAAGGTAAGTGCAACGCTTAGATACTTACTTGCTAGTCTTATTCTATTGAAACCAAATGGCACGACTAGTTGGAACGAAGGTAAATTTTTCACGCTCTCGGGAGCCGATTAAATATAAGGGCGAAAATATTCCAAGTAGCTTTTAATCGTAGTTTTCAGGATGGCAGTTTGTACTGCCAGAGCAGGTTCTTTAGATTCTTTGTAGCTAGCTAGTGCTCATGATATGATGTTTATTCGCGCAGTGCCCCCAAAGCCTGGGCCGGTTCTGGGAAAATAGACAAAAGAAGTACAGACCAATGGAAACTGGGAATTGTGTTTGGAGACTCTGAATACAGGACTGAGCACCAAAGTGCATATGCCTACGAATGCGGAGCAGCAATCAGGGATGACCATTGCAACCCTATTTGATAGCCGTATACGGTCCGCTTCTGTTCACGAAAAATTACACGCCTCACCGTACAAAATGACTTTTCAAAGCTGACTGTATCATCTTTTATGGGGGTTGATACCGGCACCTAACCAACGCTCCAAAGCACTATCAGTTTTCCCTCCTGAAGCAATGCGATACTATCCTTACAGAAACTTCAGTTGGTATTTAGATGTTTTAACGTCAAGGATTTATATTTGAACCCACTAACCAGACAGGTAATGTTGCGGATATTTGAACTCTGGATGGACAATTCATTCGCATATGCCGCAACAGATTGATGGAGAGGTTCATTCGATCTGGAGTGAATGGTGGTCTGTCTGGTGGACGGAGCTTTCGAGAATCCCGTCAAGCTTTTGTACTTTCAGTGGTGTACCACCAAATTTGATCGGGAGAGAGAGGATACATGGTGTATTTGTTCCAACCTTTTTAGATTTGACCTTCTGAGGTACTGATACCGATACTAAAAATAAAAGATAATCGTTCAGCTGTAGCACCCTTTCGATGCCTAACTACCATGCCACCCGAAGGAAGCACGAGGGCTGGGATACTGTCAGGTTGCCCAGACCTAGACAGGGCAAGTCGAGAGGCAGAGGTCGTGTTCGAACCACGGACCTTCCGGTTAGTAAATTCGCGCTCCAACCACTTTAGCCATCTCATCATCAGTAGTAATATACTGCATGCATGCATTCCTTCTTTAGTAGGGCTTGGTGGCAGACGTAGGAATATTGTGAGAGTAAGGTCCTCCTGATAAGAAGATTTAAAAAAAAATTTGAGATAACTGGATTGGCTGGGCTGTATAGAACAAACAGGCATGCACAGTCGGGTTCGCGTGTACTTTACGTGTAGTCCAATGCTACACAGTTTATTGGTCCCCGTATGGGAACTGTGGTTTTTATCTAACCGTAAGTTCAGCGTGCGGTTAAGCAGATGGTTCAACACTAGTCGTTTCCCGAATGCGGAAACTGTCTTACAGAACCTTTCCAAACTTGGCGCCAATTATTGGTGTTGCGGGACGTTCAACAACGTAGTACAACACATCGTCTCAAAAATGGTGGACACTTAAAATGGAACTTCAAGCTGTAACACGCGAAAAACTGGAGGTCTCTGACCAACATGTATTCTGTCGCATGTTACTGACGCGTTAGTTTTCATACAATTGAGTGGTGATGAGTGGCATAACCTGAATCCGGTCGTCCCAGCTACCGTGGGCAGCCGTCGTCAGTTTGAACGAACGCAACTTGGGAAATTTACCTTTTCATTATGCACAAAGTTTAGCTTGCATGGCATTGAATGGACAATCCAGGACGATGGACGCTAGTTAGGTGGATAGTTTTTGTATTGTGAATACATTTGCTTGTTGTGTAAAGGCTGGAAAAGCCATCAGTAGGCACTTTTTCCCTGATCACGTGGCTTTATCAAACTCCATGGGATACGTCGAATGATGATACTGCTACGTGCAAGTATAGACAGCTTCTCAGCCTGAATTTTACGTCCTAAACCTCCGGACGACCAATAATATGAGCTTGACTACTGCCATCTGCAAAAGGCTGTTCGGCTGTAGTGGAAAATACACAGCGTTTCTGAGGTGGATCTAGTTAAAACCGACACACCAAATCTAATTGGCTTCCTGCCTTTAACGCTTCCCCTCGCAATTTATATGGTCGATCGCTTTGAGAGAGAGAAAGTGCGCCTGAGCAGTCTTCCGTTTTCTGCTTTGTACCCTAAGGCACGACGACTGACAGTTTGAGTGGATAATTTCTCACGTGAAGCTGTCTGCGCACCCTCGAAATTCCAGAATCAGTGTGCAGCCCCAACAGGGACACCAATTTTAGGCAATGCTGCTTCAGTCTTCGCAGTGATTCGAGCCCGTGACTTCCGGTAGATGGGTCAAACACTTTATTCCTAGCTTACGCAGTATAGGCTAGTGATTTGCTTAACTTGCACATCCGGAGAATAATCGGTCAATACTATCTTTATTATTATGGTATTTCTTTGCGCCCAGTCCCCATATTTCCAGCCCCTTTACTTTTCTTCATATGAAGCGATATCCTAGCTCTGAATACCGCATCACTGTCCCCCAGTATCAATGCGGAATTTTCCTATAGCAATAAAACGGCAATTTTAAGTGCATTTTACGTTAGACGTTGGTGTGATCAGTTAGAAAATCCAGCTCAGTCCTAGATGTTATTTTTTCACAAGACTGCTCCTTCGTCACTCACTTTTACCCAATTTTTTGTTCCTCCAGATCCTGAAAAAGGTTACACTGACTGTGGAAGATCTCAACCAGAAAGTATTCCTGCCCAGTGGACTACTCATGATCGACCCATCCGAGCGCGGCCTCAGAGTTGTATCCTTTTACGCTGATATCTTTACATATACTGTGCAGCGTGCTTCAGTGTCGCCAGTTCAATCAGCCAAGACAAAATGAGAGTTTAGCTTTGGTTTATTTGACGCATCATAATTCCGCCAAGCCTTGACACATCTAACCTTATCCGCCCTTGCAAGTAATCGTAACCACTGATGACAGGTAGCACGTACTTATCTTCCGTAAATGTGAGCTGTTATACACAGGACTCATTCGAACTACTCGTGTACTATCTTATCAGCATTGATGGAAACAGTAACGCACAATCTCCTACAAGATAGTGGTGAAATCTTTGTAATGTACTACTCATAAGGTTGCTGAAAATCCGTCGACAGCCCACGACCGGTTTTACCCTTTTTGGGGCTCATCAGGTAGGCGCAGTTACCGGGTTTCCGTCAACCTTATGTTCTACTTGAAACAAAAAAATTGCACCAAATTAGCCAATAGACACTCACTCATTTGCAAACTAATTTGGTAAATTAATTTGGTTTTTCGAGAGACTCACCTGGAAACCCAGCTGATCTCTCGTTTGTGATGTGAAATTTTGAAGGACTCAGATGTAGAAATAACATTAAACCATCCATTTTATGTGCGCTCCATCCATTAGGAGGGGGTCCACAGTGTGCGCTATACTGTGACCAGGTAGACGTTATGTTCACAGCTTAGCGAACCACATAAATCGCCCTTCATTAACCACCATCGACCCTGAACAGCCAAACTGTCACATGAATTACATTGCATTCACGTCGGTCCTCTTATTTTCATGTTGCGCTGAATCATCGTCCTATTTATTCTTAAACTGATAACATTCAGATTGAACTGCGTATTCTGCAGCCCCAGTCTTGACAACCCATTATGACTCGGACGGAACAGCGCGCCTCTCACGAGCTACCGCCACAAATGGACTCACTATGTTGCATTCATGCGTTCAACCTTTTGGCTATGCCAGCTGGTACCTCGGCTCAAAAGTTACTTGTTACAGACTACTCTGCAGTATGAACGACACACAAACCAGTTTGGAAATATACTTCCCGCTGTATTGCTATCACCATCATTGTCAGCGTCTCTTTTGCCATTGTGATTTTCATTGTTGACCACCTACTACCTGTACGTTATCTTGATAAATATCAGTGGTGAAATCGACACTTGGTTCATCATCTATCGGACATTTTTAATTAATCTTGGACTGACTAGTCCAAAGTAAGCTATTTCACCAGTTTTATCGATTCGAACAAGTATGTTTTCCGCTGTGCAGCCTTGATTCGTTCAGTCAATCTGTCTCTGACATCTGATGGGTCGGACTGTCCACCGGGATTCGCCAGGACCGAATTTAGTGTGGTTTTCTGACTCATGATAGGGTGATTTTGATCTTCCTCAGTATCCCGCCCCAGTCCTCTTAATTTGCGACATTCACTGCTCACGATAGGTAAACAAACTTATATTTGTTTCTCCTTCTATGCGATGAGCGGTTTTACTCGGTGAATGTGTTGTACGCATCCCCTTGCGGGTTGTGAGTGCTAAGTGCCCTTCATTGATGCCCGGTTCCGTCGGGGGGTTCGAAATTGGTCGTTACCTCCTGCTACGGATATTTTGCATTCATATCTGATCAAGTCGTTTGAATCACGAACGCAATTGTTGCGATAAATGTCTTCGGTACAATCATATTACATAAGGGGCGGGATGGGTGCGGTTCGACGTTCCGTCAGGATCACCGGATGCCCGGAGAGTACATT